TCTTTTTTGAATCCAGCAGAAAGCTTCACACCCACCCCAGCGCCTCAGATACCTCTGAGCGCCTTTGCCGAGCTGCAGGCGGCAGCTTCATTGAGCCCACTAATCTGTGCGTGTCATGGAATTGTGTCAAACCCTGGAGCCTGTTCCACCATGTAGCTTGACCTCCCAGATGGGTCAACCGCTCAGTCTGGTGCCATGACCCACAGCCCATGAGCCATCATGAGCCAGTGCTGTACCCATGGAATGTCCAAGGTGTTTGAGGTCTACAGCAGACTGAAAACTGGGTGGAGTTTTCCGTCGCATGTTCGTCCGTCGATGTCACAAACAACGACACTGGACGTGAGGTGGGGTGCTTTGAACATCGTTCAACATTCCAAAAGTGATTAGAAGGAACAGCTGAAGAAGGCTTTGAGAAAATCCTGGAGATCTTTGCTTAATAGCTATAAGGCGTGTTGTGTTTTTTAAATCTCTTTGTCTCTTCAACCCATCCACAGAATTCCACGGCAGCTCAAACTAGCGCACTGGCAGGTTTGGATGAACTTCGTGTAGATTGGCTCTTGGGAGATGCCACCTGGTCAGATTTTAAACCCTGTAACTAGGAAGAGAAAGGAACAGGGGCAGCAAGAAGAAGGGGTGAACATATTCCAAGAAACAACTCTATGAAGGATTGGGATGCATCTAGAACCTCTAGGACCTCTTGCATCCGAAGATCCGCCGGCTATTGGCTTGTTAGCCACCTTCTAGACTCCTTGGGTGCCAAGAGACTCAAGGATCGTTCGATCGGGGCGCATTATCGATTGCCGAGGCGAAGTGGGGAGCACGCATCGGAGAGCTCACCTACATGGGCGCAGGCGGCGCTGGGCGGAACGGGCGGAACCCGGCGGAATGGGTGACGGCGTCTCACAGAGAGGAACTGACTGGAACCTTTGGCTTCGTTTGGCTTCGTTTGGCCGTTCTTTGCTTCATGATTGTGGTCGAAGATGTGGGTAGTACAGATAGAGTCTAATGCACTTGCAAAAGGACTCATGCAATTGCGAAGTTCATTTCTGTGAGGCAAAGTCTAAACCCTGTTGCGATTCACGGCAAGCATTAGCGCACAGCACATGTTTGAAGAATGATCAGAACGACATGTATTTGCTTCATAGGAGCCGCGTTGCAACAATGCACACCTTTAAAAAGGTGAGGTGTTGGATCTTGAGTCCGCCAAAGATTGGTATTGTGCACAAAAAATCCCAAAACAAAAATGAATCAAAACACTGTGCTGTTCACGACCCTGTCCGGTGGTCGTCGTGTCCTCCAGGCTCTCGCGTGAGTCCGCCGCTGGCCATGCGCTTGGCTCGGGCCTTCGCGGCCGGGCACCTGCTGCGGCGCCAGCGGATGCGCCTGGAGGCGAGGGACCCTCGCCCACGTCGTGACGCATGGACGAAGCTGAGGGGGGAATGTAAGTATATATACCAAGGTATTGTGGAAATAGCTGAAACCTTTTTTGTAAGTCGAGTCGTTGCTTGAAGTATTCTTGAGCAGCAGAGTTGGTAAGCCCAGCACAACTGCTGACCAAAAGGCCATTCCTGAGGAATCTTTGTTTGGCTTTGCTCTGTTTGCGGAATTCTTGTGGCAGGAAGACTCTGCGGCTGAGCCTTTGTGGCCGTTGACCGCAGAGCGCGGCAAGAAAGTCGCGGAAAGAAAGGGAGCACAATGGAGCGCATATATTGGTGATTGATCGGAACCGATCAGAATGGAGGGTCCAATTGAACTGGTTCCCTAAATTGTGCGAGGATTTCCCCTGAGGTTCAGAGTTGTCGAGTGCGTTCAGAAGTCCCTCCCCACTATGCAATCGATGCTACCTGCTACCTGTTATACAGGTACTACTGTTGATGCAATTGGTGCCCGTTAGGTCAGGGAATTTGTCCAATCGCAGAATTCGATCGGGGGTGAATTTCAGAATGTGGCAAGGTGTTCCAGAAGCCAAAAGATACGTCATCGATTTCATGGGCCCAGTCGGATTGTTCCTATCTCGGTGTCGTTGCTTGAGCTACTTCTAGCTGGGCACCACCCAGGGGCCCGACAGGAAGACTCAACGGGTCTGGGAATCCGCTGAGGCGGTGGTGATGAGGCTTTGCACCACCGCTTATTGGAGGCCCAGAGCGATCTGCGATGAGTAGATCTGACATGTAGACGTTCGGGTAGATTTCAAGGTTTGGAATATCAGGACCCGGAAGCTGCAACATGTTGAAAGATGTTGAAAGCACTATCGAACACTTACAAGAAGTTTGAACAAAGATTTGAGATGATTTGAGGGGGTTGTGCGAATCAAGGTTTTGGTTCATCCTTTTGAGGGTACCTTAAGAACATATTTTTCACGGCAAAATGGCTCTTCCTCGTGCCCTTACTATCCCATCGTCAAGCAAACACAGAAACTCAGAACAGCTTTTCACAGGATGGCAAGCCGCAATTTCCAGGGCAATCAATCAATGCGCCGTCAAGTCGAGTTCGCACACATCGAACCCAAAGTTTACATTCCTTGAAGCATCGCTTGTAGGTTGGAGGCCATCGCTATTAGGTTGGAGGTCATGGCTCGTAGGTTGGAGGCCATCTTTTACCTTCCAAACTTCCACGTCCCTCACACTCCGCGACCGATGAATTCGCCGCAGGTGGCCAGACAAAAAGTCTCCGACCTGTGCCATGTGGCCACCTCTGCCGCCGGCCGAGTGATGGGAAAGTGGCCACGGTGGGATGGAGACATGGTGGATCCCATTCGACGTACATCCCAGCTCAACAAACAATGTGTTAACAAACTTACATCCCAGATTTTAAAAGTATTCCAAGTTTACAACAAAAATGTTGCAGATCTCAGCTACCATCGACCTGAGAAAAAGGCCTTTCGCAGAGGAAAACGCCGAGCGGGCCGTTCTTTTTGTTTGCGATTGAATATGGTCGTTTCTCCGAAGTCCTTTTCCGCTTCAAAAAGCTTCGAACGGTCACCTTCGACATCCTTCGACCGAACGAGGTTCGCGAGCTGCCCGACGCAGCGTTGCCCGGGGAGTTCAGTGAGGAGATGAGGCGTGTTCACCGAGGGCGAGGGTGGAGAATGGACTCATGAAAGACCAACCTGCTCAAGGCAAGGCCACATGGCTATTGGGTTGGAGGACTTCATGGGGCAAGCTTGGTCCGTTTTACTCACGTGTTCATTCTTCTTATGGAAAACGTGACATGCATAGAAGGGTGTGTGTGTGTGTTCTTGCTCGATCGATAGTGGTCCTGGGATCGAAGTTGCGAGTCCTCTCGAGTTGTCTCCACTGCGATTCGTCTCGACTGCGGTTTCACAGATGTCACGCGAAGTCTTCCCAGCGCTCTCTTTGCTTTGGTGCCAGTATTGGCTTTCTATCAGTTTTACCACGCTGGAGCTTTCAGCCTCGTCAACATGCTAAAACAACCGAAGTGGAGGAGTGAGTGTACCACCTTGCAGGTGGACAGTACCTGCTGAGACATCAGTCATATTATTTCTTGTGACCTGCGTTGCTTGTGACGTTTTGTGCCAGGAACAATGCCAAAGAAGCAGACCCAGCCTCAGATTCGATCCTTTGAGTACAATCAAAGCTGCATTTGGCTTTGCCCCAAAACACGAAGAAGCTAAGTTTTAAACTGAGGACACAGGGCAGGTTTTCTAGCTCCTGTCCTCCCTAAAAATTGAGATATCGTCAAGTTGGGCGATGGACATCTGACTTCTACACATCAGCTGTTCGGAATTATTGCCCCGAACTTCTGGAGGCGAAGAGCAAACGTCAAAGGGTTGGAATTTGTGCTTTGACAGCTGAGGGATTGGTCGTCGAAGAGACCTGAGGATGGCGAAAAAAGGGTTCGCTGATCTCAAGAAATTGGGTCTGGGTCATGAAACTGCAATATAAGTATTAATATTGAAACGATGTCTTTTTGTGCGTATGATTTTGGATGTTCATGTTGAACTTCCTTGGCCTTTCACTTGGTGACTTAGTGAACGAATCACCGGTATTTAATGACTCGGGGACTTCCCAAGTTGAGACAAGCTCATTAGCTGCTTGCACCACTTCCGGGCGAAGGGCTCCGAGGATACCTAGAGCATGAGCTACCTGCTCGCAGTCATGGACTCGATGAAACGACAGAGAAGGAAGGCAAAGAAGGCAAGGGTTCGGAACATTTTCACACAGCCCAATTACAAGGACACGCACCCATGTGGACCCACAGACAGAAAAGAGTAAACAAAATAGTTTTGCAAGTCCAAAAATGATTGAAATCGCGAAGCCAAGCCGTGGGTCCGTGCGCTCATGGCAGACCTTGATGTCGGACTCTTTTGTGCGTTCAGCACCGCGCCGAAATGTCACGGCACCCAGTTGTTTGTCTGGAAGTGAGAACGTCATCAGTTACTGCCAGTGATGTTTAGCAAAAAGTGGCACATGAAATGGGAATCGTGTCACTGGGAATCGTTTCGCCTGCAGTAACAAGAAGCTACTAATCAGTAGGTCTTTGAAGCTACTAGGAACTATAGAAGCTTCCCTGGGAATCGTTTCCCAGGAGCAGACATCCGTGACAGACAAGTCCAAGGCGTGACGATGCGGATTTGGTTCACGGGCTTCGGGGAGAACACGGGGAGAACTTCGGGATATGATGGTGCCATGGACATTTTTAAGGTTCTTCCTGTTCCAGTGGTGGGACTGTGAGGTTGCTCGGATGTCAGACTACGTTCTAATTGTTCGCAAGCTTTGGTCTCAGCATCCTACCAGCCCCTAGTCTGGGAAGTTTTGGGACGCGGCTCAACGGAAAAATGCATCACCCATGTTCTCTTGGCTTTCTTGCACACGTAGACTGTGGCCGTCATTCAAAAACTCTGTAAAATGTGCACTGGAAGTCCGTCTAGGAGTGTCCAACCGTTCCAGAGCCCGATTTCAGGTGGAGGACGGTGAGGCTCGAGCTTTGGTGAAGTGGACTTGAAACAGAGAGAGAAAAAAGAAGGACATTATGTTGTTCTGATATTCAATGCATATTGTTGCAATGTGACATTTTCGGAAGTATAGATGAACGATTTTTCTTTTCATTACAGTCTGTTGTTTTTGACATTAAAAGTTCTGTTGCTTTGATTTGCTTTGTCTCCTGATTTGGGGTTCAAGAGCGGAGCCAAAGGGTTCAAACCGCAAGCAATTCCATAGAAAACCGCATTCTCATGGCAGACTTGAAGGTGATTCCAACCCTTCAGGTGGCCCTCTTCGTGGGCTCCTGGATCACTTCCTGGTGGTCCCTCGTCACAAATGCCTTCCGCGTGACGCTGGGTGGCCACGGCTTTGACATCGTCTACGCCGCTCCCGTAGCAGTTTTGCTGTTGGGTTTGTTCATGACCAACTTGCAAGGCTTTCTGGAAGAGAAGCGCAGAGGCGACATGCCCCTGGCGAAAGCGGCAGCTCTGGATTTGGACCTGGCATGTTTGCTTCACCGGCATGGCAAAGAGCTTTGTGCAGGCAAGCCAATCAAAGCTTGGGACCGTCTCAAGGTAAGACAGGCCCTTGGAAGAGGCATCCCGCTCTCGATGGTCTCCTTCTACATCGCCAGCCGCAGCCTCGTGGAAGCGCCTGCCTGCCAGCTCCTGATGACACTCAGCAGAAACGTCATTGAGGGAACCAACATGCCCAGCAAGGTTGCCGAGTTTGTTGATAGCCACCCCTACATTTGCCAGATGGATCTCCCTTTTGGCTTCGGACTTGGCTGTGTAAGCAATCATGATGCTCTGCTCTTCTTGGAGGATTGGACGAATGTCCCAAACAACCTGCAAAGTTTGAACAGTGAGAGCAAGAGCAAGATGCACGATGTTGAAGGCACCATTTGGAAAGCGGCCCATTGTCAGGAATCAACCTTTTCTCCAGGGAAAAGTGAACGCTGCAGCTATGAACTCTGCGGGGGTTCGGATTTGCCGAATGGTTCCATCCAAGCTTTCAATGAAGTGGCAACACTCCTCGCTGTAGCAGAGATGAAGAACAGCGACGAGCTGAGAGACAGCCTCAAAAGCTTAGTGTTTCGCTTCACCGGGGAGTGGCTGCTGTCCGCCGCCATCCCTTACAATATGGTAATCAATGCTGTATTGAATCGAGTAAGCGTCTCTGGCGACCAGGCCTTCATCATCAAATCTTGGAGGCACTGGCAGCCACAAGTTGTTTTAGGGGCACTCTTCCTGATTGCATCCATGCTGCCACTCTCCAAACTCATCGAAAGACAACGGCGCTTGAAGGAGCAGCGCCACAAGATTCCAATCCTCGTTCACCTCAGCCTAGACATCCTTCTTCTGGAAAGTGCTAGCGTGTTCATGCTAACATCACACTTCATCAATCGCTGGGGCGATGCCGTCATTGATGCAGCGCGTCAATTGACACTTGCCATTGCCACCGGGCTCAATACGGTGGAGGTTTCAACTACGGGTTCTTTGGCTGACCTGAAGAAAGAAATTCCTAAGCGAGTCTGGACGGACGAATTCATGATGAAGATGTTGAATGCAGTGGAAAGCATGAAGGAACCCTTGGAGGTGGATGAAGGGTTGCTCGGTGCTTTCGTAGCAGCAGCATTGTTCTTCTACAGCGTTTCCACGGTGCTTTGCCGGGACAACAGCGTCTGTCGGAGCCAGATGTGGATCGCACGGTGGAACGCAGCCGTTGGAGGACCCCTGCACCTCCTAGGGTCAGTTCAAGAAGAAGAGGTGCGCCAGCTGTGTCAGCCAATCCGCTTGCAGATCTTGCTGCGCGGATTTCTGCTCAGCTTCCTTCTGGGCTGCTTCTTTGCACCTTCCAATGGCCTGGATGCGTTGGCTTCCACGGCCCTGGTCTTCAACATCAAAGCCTCTCGAACGCCTTGGATCATTTCTTGGCTCTTCCTTTGGGCTACACACGCCATCACCGGCGTGTTGGCCGTGATGGCCATCGAGGAAAACCAACAGCTTCGTGATGAGGACCGCATGCTGAAGGACATGGAAGCCTATGGCTCCATCAACAAAGCACCAGTTGCCAACCATGCCATCGGCACCACCACTGCCACCAGCGGCAACGGCTTGCCTTCAACCCAAGCTACGCAGCCACCTGAGCTTGGTGCCGAGCAAGGTGAGAATGGCTCCTCTTTGCCACCTCCACCAGCACTTCAAGATCCACCAGGCCTAGGCCTTTCAAGCCCTTGAGGCACAGCCTTGAATGGCACAGGCTGAGCCTTCTGCCAGCAAGCCTTTAACAGTTGCTGTAAATAAAAGGTGGTCATCAGCTTGTGAAATGTGAGTCGATTGCAAGTGGCTCATCAACATCCTGCGTTTTTTTTTTCCATGAGAAGTGTGTGAAGTGAAAACAAACTGAGGCTGCTGCTGTCAGGAGCTCTGTCAGGTCTTTGGAGTGAAGCTGCCAGGGACTAGCTGGAGGAGCTGCAGCCAGTGCTTCTTGCAATTGTACATCACGTGTTTTGAGTCGTTCAGTTACATGTTGGGAACATGAACGTGGACCTTGCATTGGTCAAAGAGGGGCACTTGAGAAGTGGTTCCGCTAGTCCCTTACTCTCTAAGTAGACTTTCGGATGACATAGGACAAGTCACAAGATCAGCTGCTTTGAGTGCCATCGCGGTCATTGAGACAAAGGCGAGAGATGGAGAAGTCTTCAGGGTGCGTGATGATCCTAGTAGCATGTTGCACCAACTATTGCGAGCTGAACCCTTTTTGGTGATTGGAAAGTTCTTGTTTCAGCAAATCGTTCAAACAAGAAGAGTTTCAACCATTCAAAGTTGCTTTGGAAGAAGGCTTCTGCCAAGAAGCAAGCGGCCGGCTTCGGTGCAGCAACACAGCGGCCGGCTGCCGGCAGCTTGGCAGCTTTGCGGCCCAAGATTTATAGCTCAACTTGTCACATCCCAATCTATGTTCTTCTGTCACTTTCATGTAAGCATATAACGATATACAATATATATATATACATATATTTGTTTAAAGGTGTTGTTCGCTTTTCTGGGGTGTATCTCTTGTTATTTGCAAGAAGATCCGGGGTGTGTTCCAGCTGTCGCAAGGATTCTGCTTCCTTCGCTGTGGTGAGGAGCCGATGAAGTGGTCCTCGACGGCACCTCTCTTCGGGGGGGAAAAGAGAGCCGGTCCAAAGGAGCAGTCGAGTCTTATCATAGGCATGTGTGATGGACCAATGCTTAGCTAAAGGCTGAAGGGATGATTGCTTAAACTTGGTTGATTTGGATCCAACCATGCGTGGCCTCCTTTCCCTTTCTTGCACTGTGAGTCAACCACCAGTATTACAGACCTCAACCGTGAGTGCAATGGTGGCCTTTGTCCATTACACATGGATGGGCCGGTTGGCTTTGCTGAAGCAAATGGGTAAAGAGAGAGTTTCAGACAAATCCAGGGCCCCTTTGGAACCCGGCTGAGGAGCCCAGAGCGGGTCTGGATGGGATTGGTATCAGATCATATGAGATTGAGAGAGAGAGAGAGGAGGAGAAAGGAGAGAGATGTCTCCAGTGATGTTTCCACTTCGCAGCGAACTCTCATGGCTGGACTGGTCCGGTGGTCCACTCGTGGCTCTCAAGTTTAAAAATATAGCAGGGACACTCAACTTCCCATGCATAACTAACTCTCATGCACGGACCCTTACAAAGGGATGCAAAGGAGGTGAAACATCAAAGCGAGCTAGACAAATCTATCCGACCAACACCCCAAAACGGTATTCAAGTCCATGAAAGAAGCTGCCCTTGACTTGGCTAACAAAGTCAATCTTCATAGACTCGCCGTGCGTTTGACATACGATGGCCTTGCTCTTTCAGGCTCGAGCTTCTCCAAGACTTTCAGTTGCCTGACTCCGAAGAAGGATCTCACGACTGTAGAAACAAAAGGGGAGGGCACATGCTGGTAGTGTTGAACTAAGGAGGGACGTACTTCCATCTCTAATAGCAATGGCCTCCAACCTAGGGACTACTCTCTGATTAACCTAGAAGGTCCTATGAATCAGCTCAGGGACGTCCTCTTAACCGACCAGGCATGACTTCGCCCAAGTCTTCAGTCCCGAAGTCGGTGTCCTGTGCTGCGCAAGCCGCTGCAGGTGTTGATCTTGCCGGTGGCGCTCCATCTCAACAGCCTTGGAGGCGTCTGTGTGTGGTCGGACGGCTGCTCAGTAGATCGTAAACGAGCGACAGGGAGGACAGATACGGATAGAGCTCCACCAGGATCCAACGCATGTTATTGTTCATCCCACCAACCCACAGGAGAGCTTTGACTTGTGTCAATTAACTGTCCCAAGGTTTAGCACAACATTTGGACTCTCCAAGCCGCAAGCCTTTCTTCCTAGCAGGTTCTGACAATTTGATGGGTAAGCCGTGGTAAGACATCACATAAGTCACAGGGACCAGTGACATATTGATGTCATTCGCGTTTGTTTTACCTTGTTTTGCACCTTGCTGGACGCCTTGTTGGGACGCCGTGAGGTCTCCTTCCACCCCCCCGGCGTCTCCAGGTCCAGAGAATTTGGACCTCACGGTGGAGGCGAGTCGCTGCCGCGTCGGAAGAGAGCGACAGGGGCCCCCGGAGTCCGTGTTTGGCAGGGCAAGGTCGCTGGGCATAGCGAGGGCTTTATGCAAGCATTTGCTGAAAAAGATGTGCAGAACACACGTTCAGCTATTTGCTGAGGAAAGACGCTTCATGGAATGGACATAGTATTTTTGTTGGAGCAGAAGATCATTGTTGTCCTCACAGACCATCTCACTGAGTTGGAAGTCATTTGACATTTGATTAATGCTGTTGAAAACTGATCATGTGACTCCATCGAATTGTTCCTGCTGGGTGTCGCTGAAGCTCCTAATATTCAGACTCCTATTGCAGGGAGTGGGTGATTTGGAGAAAACGTCAAGGATTACGTTTTTACATCTCTTCAAACATCAACCTGAAACAACACGGAAGTGAAGAACACAATCTGCATATGTTTGCATGATGTTAGGTCTAACAGTCTCGCCTCATGCCAGGATACTTCCTTGTGTGCTGGGAGCCCAGACACGGGGGAAATACAGCAGCAGCTTCAAACTCATTGCCGTCATGCTGCAGAAGGGTCCAAACCCATTGCAAATAACATGCTTTGGAAGAAAGGGTCGGGTAGAACGGGGTGTTACTATGATATATTATGGTTCATTGTTTGTGATAAACTGAATTGCCAAGGGCAAGTACCAAGGGCCACACCGAGTGTAGCTCCAGATGCTGCAATCAGCCATGGAGAATAAGCAAGTAAGCAAGACACATTCAATAAGCTGCCCATGAGCTATGGTACTATGGTACCATCTACCATTGCCTTCTTGATTACTTGGCGTTGGTCAGAGAATAGCGGGATTCAGACGTTTTGGATTCTCGCGACATTTCGTAAATCCCAGTCAAGATACGCCACAAAGTTCATGCGAACAAGTGAATCCTGAATCTCCATTGCCTCTCATCAAGCAGCAGAATAGGGGGTGGAACGCTTTCAACAATTTTCGCGGCTCTATGCCTAGCCCTCCCTGGGTAATGCTCCAGCCTATCGATTGGATCCCATTCCCACTATCAATCATCATCCACGGAAGGTTTAAAAAAAGTCAATCAAATACCCAGCGGTGAACAAAGATGGACCATTACTCATCATCAACCAACATACTTATTTGGCCCTTCAGACCAACCCACCAGCTACACCTTCCCCTTCACTGCTTCGCAGACGAGCCCCGACCCAACTCACCAGGTCCCTGAACAGCTGACCTCAAAGCGCCTCTGCGATGCGAAGCTCCTCCGGAGCCTTTGCGACGGCAACGTGCATCGGGACCTCATCGAGGAGCAAGACGAGACGAGACCGTGGTACCGGGCGGGTGGCGGAAGACCTCTGGGGAAGGCCCCAAAAGGATTTTGGAACTCCAAAGATTACAGATTGAAAGATGTTCTTGGCCAAGAATCACATCAACCAAGACCTGCAGTTGCTACGTATGTTGCTGCCGCTAGTCCAGCTCTTTGGAGAGGACCCCCCCCTCTGCCAGTGACCAATGTGCTGACATTCTTTTGCTCAACGCCCAACGCCCACGGAAGGCCTCTGCAGAGATGGCAAATCAACAAATGGCTTCCTTTGTAACATTGAAACATCTTCGTTTTGGAGACAGGTGACGGATTCGATCTTTCGCAGACCAGGACTTCCTCGCGTCGCAGACCTGGAGCCCGTTAGGCACGGCATGTGTTGTCTCTGGGACACGCCTCGACGTCTCACAGACCCTCTTGTCCTGGAAGAAAGTGTTTGAACCTTGGAGGGGCCCCGAACTGTCGAGAACATGGATGGGTTCCATGAACAGCTGGTCAATCAGGCTAGAAACGAAAAGGAACCCCAGTGCCACATGAAATAGAAAATTGTTCTTTTTTTGGTATCCTCCTACTATTGGCATCTCAGAGTGACGGGTTGGCGCCTGATCTCCTTCGGTGCTTTTGAGCCCTGGCCGCACGAGTTCGCCCAGGAGGCCAACAGCTGGAATCAACGGTGAGGCGGGCGACCGAAGAGATTCGCGCGGTGGACAGTGGCCGAAGTGGGAGAGACACACGTAGGCGACGCAGGCTTTGGTCATTGCTAATGTGATTTTGACCCATGCAGTGATCCTAGTAGAAGAAAACCATCCAAATGATTAGATTCCAGGGTGTTCAAACTTGGTGCTGACTGCCATGTCTATCAGGTTGGTTGGTGAGTGTCAACGGTAATTACTTTGGATTTACGTTCATGTGAGATGGGATAAGTACCATAGTAAAAAGGGCAATATGGTTTTGTCCAAAAAGTTGGTGTTTAGAGGTGGAACTAGAGAATGAAAGTCGGTGTCTTTGTGTCTTCCATTCTCCGAGGTCATCAATACACTTGTCGCTGAGATGGGATGGAAAATCCCACAGACAGGTAAAGCTGCTACCCCTCAAAATTGCGCCTGACCTGAATGCAGCGCAGAGACCTTTGGAACCAATCCCATGTTGACTTTCCCCACCAAACCCCGCAGTCCTACCTGTTCTTGGGTCCTTAAGGCGCAGGGTGTGGATTTCGATTCGGCTACGGTGACACCGACGGTGGCGAACGTGTTCGGCCTGACCGACCGGCGACACCGGCGATGTCCGCGTTCGTCGCCAGGGCCTTGGTCTCTGAGATGCTGTTCATCTACGACGCAGCGGTCACTCGAGCGTTGGAGAAGGGCTGCATGTCACTCGACAGAAGGGCTGTAGTATGGGATGTCCCAAGCTGGGCAGGAGAAGAA